TACATGTGAAACATCACTGAGGCTGTTAAATATTAATTTAATGGAATACTCAATGATAACCCATCCATTCATTTCATTAAATGATACAGTTGTAATACTGTTAACTCGTAACCTGCTTTGTGCGTCCTCTTATTCTGATCAATGTTGGAGTAAGTGAATCCAGATAACAGGAAGACATCCTGGGTATGTTGAACTTATTTCATAGTATGGGCAAAGGTCTTAAAAGTGCAATCAATGTTGTCTTAAACATGCATTCCTAATAACAGCCAGCAGGTGGCAGCAATTCTGGTTGCAAAATAAAACAGACATTTTGTTCAATGGCTGGAAATTGTACAAAGTATCTTGTAGAGGAGATCAAAATGGCAAATGTTTCCTTTCGTTGAAAGAGATCCTTCCGTTGTTTCTGACATCAGTTTCAAACAGCTCGTTCAGTTGTAACCTCACCAGTTGCTGTTTGGTTGGTTTTGGTAAAATGTTAGATAAATGGAGTGGAGACGGTTAATTTACCTCAGTAAAGAAACATAACTAAAAAATTTTGCAAAATAATAAAATCATATGTGCAATTTGAAATAACCTTTTTCTGAAATTAAATCCACTGAAGTCTATTTTCAGTATCCCAAAAACAATTTGTTTATTTTTCATAGACTGTTACAAATATCTCCTTCTATGGTTGTAACTGTACCCAGCAAGACAAAGGTCTGTGTTTACAGCACAGCAGGGCATCGCTGTGGTCTCCTTTCCCTTTCAGTGATGATCTGCCCTCTATCTTTTTTCTCCTCTCCCCGTTTCTGCTATTGTCTGTGTTCCCTCCATGGAGCCATGACTGTGACTGGTCTCACCTGGCTCGCTGGTTTGCACACCTGCACTCAATCTTTAATCAGTCTCCCTCTGCATTTAATCCCTCGCCCATCCATCCAATTTTGCCAGATTGCTCTGCTGGCTAAGTAGAGGTACCATGCAGGGTCGCTAGTATTTGCACTGTAATCTTTCTGGAGAGTTTAACTAAGACCAGAGCTTTTCCCTCTGGACATAACTCTGGGTTTTCTGCCTTTACTCTGACCTTCTCATGTATGCCACCAGCAACCCTGCCTCCATTCCCTCTGCCTGCTCCCTGTCCTCACTATCTCTCTGCTTTAGTCATTTCATGTTTCTATACTTCTCTGCTTCAGTTCACCACTCCAGACCTGTAACGTTAACAGAAATGGCCACGGTGACAGCACCCGTTAGTTGCTATGCTCCTTATTTTGAAACATCAGTGATTGTGTTTTAGACTCAGCTGTTGTTGCTGATGTTTCCATATTTGGCAGGATGGAGCAGTAACTTATCTTTTAGAGTTAGCAAGCCTGGTTAGCAACCTGCATTGTGCAACACGTGGCTAAAACAACAGATTTATTTGCACAGCCTGTACCTGTAACATTCCTAACTAAAGCAGGCACATCCCTAGCCTCAGGCTTCAACCAAACCAAATGGTTTTGTAATTTGTCAGTTGTTATGAATCAGTTACAGAGACGGATCAGGCTATTAAAAAAAATCTTAATTTCATGCCAAGAATTGGACGCTTTAATGTGGGACTCTGAGGAAATACTTAAAATGCTTTTCAAGCCACCCTCAAACTAGAGAAGCTGCAGTTGTTTGACTTCATTTTTCAGCCAAGAAGATTGCCACTTGGTTTACAAGAAAACCGATGTCATCGACCACTTTGGGGAGGTGACGGTCTAGACATCTGTGGACTTTTCTTTGAAATAACTGAAAGATAAGTAGTTTTGATTGGAGCAGGAATCTTCAGGAGGGCTCTCATCTGAGTCATATTTGGGGTCTGCCTCTTCAGCATGACACCAAAGAGGAGGTAGTCCAGTAACTGACAGAAAGACCACTGAATGGTAAATGGTCTGTATTTGTATAGCACTTTACTTGGTCCTAAGGACCCCAAAGCACTTTACACTATCAGCCACACACACATTGGTGATGGCAAGCTACAGTGTAGCCACAGCCGCCCTGGGGTGCACTGACAGAGGCGAGGCTGCCGGACACTGGCGCCACCGGGCCCTCTGACCACCACTAGTAGGCAACAGGTGAAGTGTCTTGCCCAAGGACACAACGACCGAGACTGTTGGAGCCGGGGCTTGAACCAGCAACTTTCTGATTACAAGACGAACGCCCAACTCTTGAGCCACGATCGCCCCTGAAAGCAGTGAAGAGCTGGTTTAAAATAAGTGAAGGACGGTATAAAGGGTTCAGTCAGGCAGCTCTGAGGGTTGTGGTAGTTCTTTCTAGATTAAGTTTTACTGGGCTTTTGAAATATTTTCATATTCTTGAGGCTAAAGTCAAAGAGACTTTATTTATCCCCAAGGGGCAATTCAGATAGATGACACCTTGCCGACCATACATACAATACACAAACATCACATTGGGGAGACAGGTCAGGCTAGGTAGCACTGGCCGGTCGACCACATGAGCAGCGACCCCGAACCGAAACCATAGAAAATGCACAGCATGAGGAAAGACGAGGAGAAAAAAAAGAACTCCCCCAGACTGAGCTTCAGCAGGGAGATCAGTTTGAGAACAGGAAAAAACCACCTCAGCACATGAATCATCACATCTCACAACATAGAAGACATAAGCTTCGAAGGCGTTTGGAGGGGTTGGGGGGGTGAGTGCAAGTATGTGTCAGTGTACATGCGTATGTGTGCGTGTGCGTGTTAAATTGCTGTGATGTGACACAACAGATGTGGGACATCAAAGGGAGGGTCACTGGTTTGCATCCAAAGCCCAGCTGCTCTCAGGAAAGACACAGACTGGCTTCCAGGGCTGAGGAACACCCAGGTGTGCTTATATGCTGAGCACATAAATGAAAATCATTTTCTATTGTGTGCAACATAAACCTGCTCACTAAATACATATAGGTAAACAATGTCTTGTTCAATGATGTTAAAACAAACCTCATGCTCATTTTTTGCAGCAAAGTCTTCAGCTCTGACTCAGACTGGAATGCATCCAGCTCTGCTTGAAAATAGACTTGCACGGGACTGATCCTCAAACAGAACAAGACAGCAATAAAGACCTCCCCTGCAGCCTTGAATTTGATTTGTTTTGGTGCTGTTGTGGGGAAAAGTCAGCTTCATAGCATTATGTGAGTACTTTATTCTGAAGAGAGAAATCAACATCATCATCTCTGTTTTGAACTCACAAATATCAGAATGGAAGTCACGCAGGCAGACTAGACTCAATTTTCCAACCTCCAGCTCAGTGAGATTTCTTTTTTTCTGCTGACACAAGGTTTTCATTTCACAGTAAAGACATGCTTCTTGCTTCAGCTATTACCTGAGAGGTGTACC